CAAAGCATGTTTAATTTTATCAGCAAATCAAGCTATTTTTACTCACAAAGTACTCTGTGAAAATGACAAGAGCATGGGAGAGCTGAAAGATTGCAAGATATAGAGGCAACTATTTCTATTTTGAAGCCTCTGCTGAGAAGATAAAAATTATTGAGGCTGAAATGCTGCATTCCAGCATTTACTGTCTCTCTTGACAGTAGAAGCACCGTGGGAGACAGAAGAGCAAAAATTAAGTTAGAGAGATAATACACAGGAAGCCGATGTTATGTTATATTAAAAACAGCCAGTACTTACAGTGACAAGCCTGGAAACTAGAAAGGAAATACTGCAATACTAAAGTATGCAGAACATGTAATGCCTATATTATTTTCCCCCTCTTTAAAAAATAATATTAAGCACAGAATTATCACCAAAAAAATGGCAGGAACTGGATGCCAAATGGGAAGACTACTTCACAGATCAGTGAATAACTTGGCTATCTCCCTTGGTTACAGAACTGTCCTGATCTTAGGAGATGCAGATCATTTGTGTATGTAAATGATGCCTTTATGATTTATAGAAAAAGCCTAAATAGGAAAATCACCCCTCTTATCTGTGCTGAAGTGAGAACACAGTACGGAACTGAAAATCAATAAAAGAGAAAGCTGATCTCTTCCCACTCCATTTAGACCAGCAGTCCGCTCCCCAATGCTCAGGTTGGGTACTTTTTGTGAAGTACACACTTGCTTCAAGAAGGCTGAACTCAATGATTACCAGTGCCTAGTTCAGGCACCTGCTGGGTGGCAAAATAAATACTGGCTTTGCTGGAATCCCTCTGTGCCAAAAAAGCTCTAACCCAAAACAACTGAAGTAAACACAGTCTAATCCTCTTGCAGGAGAGGAACTGTTATGAAGGTGCAGAACAAAACATTTACTGTCATTCTTTTTTTATCTGCTAATCTTTTAACAACTATGGTTTTATTTTTACTAAATTATGTAACTTGTGGTAAAATTATTTTATTTAATTATTCTAGAACAGTTGCCACAGAAGTTTGTAGCTCCACTGTCTGCAAAAAAAAAAAAAAATCAGCTTAAGACATATGTAGTTTTATTTCTATGGTTTCACATTTTTCTGACAGGTTGTCTTACTCTGTGAGATGTTTGATTCTTTGAAAGACAGTTTTACTTCAGTTAGGCAGGTTTAAGACCTTGATTTTAGTTCCTAGGCCTAAGGATGTGTCATAGAAACCCATACAGAATTAGTTTAAAGTAACATGTCTTGCGGCAGGGCTCATTGGCCACCAGTGGTGCTGATGCTACTGCCAACCCAGTATTTTATCTTAAAAAGGGGAAATCCTGGCATCTCAGAGTTACCCATTCTCACTGGCACTTCTCAGGATCCCATCTTGGTAAATCTATCCAAATTACTATTTTACATGAAGCCACACAAATCAGCTACAAGTCAGACTCAAAATACTTAGTATGCATGGTTTTTGGATGAGGAAGGGTTCTTTTTTGCAAGACTGTAACCTGATTTTGGCAAGTGTGTTTTTATTCCGTTGTTCTCCTTTAGTTGCTTGAGAGTCTGGATGAAATCCTGGTATTAATGAGTCAGAGGTGAAACTCACATTGCTAAGTGTGAGATACTGGTGTATCTTGGTGTTTAAAGATATTAACAGTAAAATGTATGTTGAGGCAGAATTTCCTTTCCAATGCTATAATTTCAACATTCTTCAGCTAAGGAGCTCACAAATCTTGTTTGGCACCATGTACTCACTCAGCATGCTATAAAGGGAAAGAAGCCCAGCCTTTAACACTTATTAACATGGGGCAAGTAAAGCATTAGCAGGCAGACTACTGGCTCCCCACCTGGACAGAAGAGAAGTATGCTTTTTCTCTCTCACATTGATTTCTGGTCCTTGGGCTTTGCCTGACAAATTCATAATTAGATTATTATTTAATAACTAGACATTCACACTATGTCCAGAATCTTCAGGCTGTGTATCTATATATCTGTACTACAGATGGAGAATTTTCAGAACCCATGAGACTAATGGGTTGTTTCTGCTCTCTGTTGTGCATTGACAAAGGCTGTGTCATGTATCTAACCAAAGGTGCTTATATACCACAAAGGCTCTTCTGGGAATCAAAGCATCGTACACTGAGGGCAAGAATTGGGTTATCCTCTCTGAATTTCTCTCTGCACACCATACCTAAATATTAGTAGTGTTTTACAGAGGATACCACCTCTGGAGGCAGCTCTGTCAGCAGCTCCCACTACACTATCTGCAGGAAAGGGACCTCACTTTCCTGACGTCTGGATGCCTTAACCAGGATCATGGGATCATGGTCCATCTCCTTATGTGAGCATCTTCCAAGGTGAGGTAGGGGCTGGGCTGGAGACTCTGAGACTATACATTTTAATTTAAACATCTGAAGTCAACATCTTGTTGACTTTCCATCTCCTGGGAGATTTCAATTAATCTTAGATGTCAAAAAAACTAGATGTCCACTTCTGAACTGGTAACTTTATGCTCCTACTGTTACTGCTCCTAACTCTCCTCTCCTGCTGGCGAGGACCATCAGGAAGACATCCACAATAGGTTGAACGTCCCTCTGTGGGTGCCCATTTTTTCCTTCCAGCTGCAAAGGGTGACCCGCTCAGAGCGCTTTGGAGCTTACAGGTGTGAGAACTGGAGCAATGAGTCACGATCGAGATGTCCGCATCCCATCAGCACACACACGTAGACAAAAGTGCGGCTGAGAAACCCCGCAGCTCTCTACAGCGCCGAACTGCAGCATTTCTGAAACTCACTGCAGAATTTAATATCTGTCGTCTACCCTAAAAATACATTTGCACCTCTTCTCCTTACTGTAGTGTCTTACGTGTTCTTTCTCCGGAGCGCTGGTGAATAGCAGGACCAACCAGTCCTCCTCGGGACCCCCTCGGTTGCTCGGTACCTGTCCTGGCTAACACACCTCCTTTTCGGTGCGCCCCTTCCCGGGCGGGGGTGAGTCCCGCCGTGCCGAGCCCGCCCTCCGGCCCTGCCCGGGGGGAGGGAGGGGGGCCGGGCGAGGGGCGGCCCGGAGCCCGGCGCAGCGGCACCGGGAGCAGCAGCA